ACTAACTGACTTTATTTTTGTATTCATTACTAAAATGCTATCCATGTCCGTGTAGGGCATTGGGATATACGTCCTTTTGAAGAAAAAGTAGCGCAGGTTTGTGCTGGCGTATTTTAGATCGAGTTTTGATGAAACAAGGAAGAGAATGTGTTTCGGGTCTCAGATTGTGACCAATCACAGTGGACCATTAGCCCCCACTTCCGTGAGAAATCTACAGGTCCGTTAACATAGACGGCTGAGTTACCGAGGACCTGAAACTTTCACGTCTTCGTCACGGTTACTGCTTACACAGCGAGACAGCCATCCAAAAGAAAGTCTCGTTCCTCCGCGCTTCCCGGTTCTATCGTTCTATGGTCACGCCATCCACGTGCAAATCCATATCCATGTATTATCCATATTGGGAGACACTAACTCCGTCCCAACAGTGGGTGTGTGTGTGGGGGGCGATAGCTTCGTGGGTGCGGGGAGGGGAGCAGAAAGAGAGAGGCCAGCGAGTCCGCGGCTTCAAAATCCCAAAGTCAGTTAGTGCAGCTTTAAACTGATTATTTTCTGACAGTTGAAAATAAAGAATAAAAAAAATTAAATAAATAAAAACACCACATGTTGTCCTCGAAGGATATATGATCTCAACACAAGATGGGAGTGAAAACTACAGTGTGCCTTTACAGAACATCGCCAGAGTCTGTCCCATTCTTTCTCGGGTCAAAACAGTGACGCTGATTCATGCTTTTATCACCAGTTGCATAGACTATTGTAATGCTCTGCTCTCTGGTTTTCTCACATGGAACATTTCAGGTTTACTCCAAAACTCAGCAGCACGTGTCCTGACTAAGACCAGGGGGCGTGTCCTGACTAAGACCATGGGGCGTGTCCTGACTAAGACCAGGGGGCGTGTCCTGACTAAGACCAGGGGGCGTGTCCTGACTAAGACCAGGGGGCGTGTCCTGACTAAGACCAGGGGGCGTGTCCTGACTAAGACCAGGGGGCGTGTCCTGACTAAGACCAGGGGGCGTGTCCTGACTAAGACCAGGGGGCGTGTCCTGACTAAGACCTGACTAAGACCAGGGGGCGTGTCCTGACTAAGACCAGGGGGCGTGTCCTGACTAAGACCAGGGGGCGTGTCCTGACTAAGACCAGAGGCTGGGACCACATTACACCTGTTTTAACATCACTACATTGGCTCCCTGTGTGTTTCAGTCTGATCCTCTGCAGCAGAAGTCGTTCCAAAAGTCAGGACTCACACTCATGGTGAGGCATCTTTCCAGCACTACGCTCCCGTCTCTGGAACGGCCTTTTTAATTATTTTAAGTATTTATTATTTATTATTGCATTTTATATCATCTATTTACCCATTAGACACATTGATGTAGGGTAACTACTTATATTGCTGATTATAATTACTTATTAGTATAAATTTGGTAGTGTGGGTCTGCTTTATATTTATTTTGGCACCAGCAATGTGTGGGACACACTGCACAGACCAAACCAAATCTTTGCCTCAATCAGTCTTATGAATCTAATAGGTAGTGAATACTTTTATCGGCCAGGGATATTCCGAGATCTAACAAGACGACTCTGATAGGATTGAGTTAAAGAAAATGGGTTTATTGATTACAAAGTGGGATAAAAATATAACGAAAAGGGATTTCTGGTCACATTAAAAGCAGGAGTTTGTACACATTTCATTCAAATCGCACATTTAACAAGAACAGTCTCAAGAACAGTCTTACTGTGAGCCGTTCAGAGGTAGATGGGTGATTGGGATGAGGATGGAGGATGGAGATGGAGATGATGTCTCGTCCACGTGGTCTTTGTTCGAACAGGGAGCAGGAGGAAGCCGGCAGGTCGGGTCCAGGCGTGAGTTCCACACACGACACGGTCTAGAATAGCGTTGTGGTGGGGTGTTCCAAGGAGCCCGAAAGTGGCGATAGAAGGTCCTCGTCTCCGACAGCGAGAGTGGTTGCTGTCCCGTGGATGTACAGGCCCGAGATGGTGGCGGGCGTAGGCCGTGTAGGGGACACGTACCAAACGGGATAGTTGTTATAATGAATTCGGGAGAAACAAGAGGAAGTTTGTTGCATTGTGGGTGCTTATATTGACTTTCCAGGGGAGGCGTGTCCATGCCATCCTCCTCTCTGTGGACAAACCCTTCACAGACATTTGCAAAGGAAACACACAGGATTGGTGCAGATGATCATAACACATGTACAAACACACAGTGCATTTACATCACAGACATCAACACACGAGTAAGGTCCGTAACGTTATCGACATAATATTACAGAGTAATGTCCTTTTCGAGTTCCGCCTCGGGTGCAGTAGTGTCCAGTGTCCGCTAGGGGGCGCCAGAGCGCCGTGGGAGAGTCTCAGGTTGTGGAATGTCTCATGAGCGATTGCTGATGAATGATTCCTGATCTCCGTCTGGCAGGGGCACACAGATGTCCTGTTCTGTTGTTTTATTGCCCCTCTGGGTCTCGTTGTAGTGTTCCTGGTGAATGTTAACCTTCAATTGAACCCGCAGTTGCTTTGAAGTCCCGGGAGCTAGGGAGGGTATGTTTACGGAAAGGGTCTGTTATTCACGCCCGATTGGCGCTCACCTTTTCCTCACCCTACATACCCCCCCCACGGCAGAGATGCACCTTCCGACAAGGTGCATGTCATGTCGGATGTGCCGAGTGGGCGTCCTCCGTCGGTCATCTCGCCTGTTCGGGGTGTTAGTGCGTGATTTGTGGTGACATGTTACAACATTCTCGCCTTAATGTGCCTCAGTAATTCGCAAGCGCCTAACTGGGGCCAGGCTCGTGGCGGTTGGGTCTCGGGCCTCTGGCTTGGTCTGTCGAGGCCGGGCTTTCTCTAAGGCGAGTCCTGGCCCTGCAGGCTAGTTCTAACCGGGATCAGGGGTTTAGGGAGTGAGCTCCGGCCGTGAACTCTAAGGTTTGGGCCGGTGCGCCTGACTCCTGGGTCTCTTGGTCTGGAAGACTCAAAGTTCCAAGCCAAGAGAGTGGCAGGAGTTTCTACTCTGGGGGACTAGGATACAAAAATAGGAGACTTCAAAAATCAAAAAGGGGGTGGCTGTCTTGGCAGCGGGTAGGAGCGTCATTAAGGCACTCGATGGTGAGGGGCTCCTATCTTGCTCGTTCTAAAAGGGGAGTGTAAGGGTTACGCGAATATATGACGTAGCAAGTGGGGCTTTAATTACGAGGGACATTTCCTGTATATAAACGGGGATGACAGGTATGATTGTCTAGGAGACTGATTAGGCATCGAGGTAGATTGGTTGGGTCTGAGCTGGTGACTCTTAGTGGGGTTTTAGGCCCTTGGTTCACCTTCCGTGATAGAAAGAGTGACCGTCCGAGTGGGTGACTCTGGAGGTCCTCGTACTCTGACTCGTTGACCTGGGGGCGCCGACTCAAATTGCCACGCTCGACGGCGCTGTCGCCCCGGTTTTGTCGTCTACGGGTCCGTCTCGTCATTGCCTCCGTGTACCTGTTGAAGCTATCGCGGAGTCGTCTAACTCGTCTATTTAGGACGAAGGCCGTGGCTACGGCCAGGCCGTACCCGAGTCCTACCGCGATGGCCATGACCGTATCGGGGGCGGCCCAGGAGTAGGCTACTGGTTGGTGGTGGATGATCGGTCGCTTGGCAGTCTCTTGAAGGAGGCTGTCTACGACTGTAACGTCAACGGTTTGTGCCCCCTCGTAGGTGGCTTGGACTAGGGTAGAGGGTTGAAGTTCCAAGGCCCTTTCCTCAAAGAACTCTGGTACCTTGACCTCTGCCTCGTACTGGTTTGGGTACAGGTGGTATAGTGCCAGGTCGCCTACGTGCGGGATGGCGTCGGCCGGGACGTCGACCCAAAAGGTCTCGTCCGGGAGGTTTTTGCGGCAGACTTCACTAGGGTTGAGTCTGACAAAGATTCGCTGTGCGTGGAGTCGGACGTCCGTGATGAGGAGCCCGGGTTGTTCCTTTAAAACGATCCCGGAGGCTGGTCCGGTCTCAATAATTTCTGGGGTGCCGAGGCCCAGTATGCAGGTCAGCACGAGAAGGAAAGTGGGCCACATGTTCTGCAAGGCGTGAAACAACTGTTAGGGGTTAGACAGAGACAGAGAAAAAGAGAGTCGATTAGTGCAGCCGAGAAGAGTGTTAGTGGGTGCTGGACTAATCGTGTTTGAGGTCACGTGGTGTGTTCCTAACTGGGGTTTGAAGTGTGCCCTGCTTGTCCCATGGGGCTTTGTTTGTGTGGTTTGGTTTGGCTGTAACGGGCCCATCTGAGGGTGGGCTCTCTACCTTTTGTGACCTCGATTTGGTGCACTGCGGTTGAGAGTTTGTTTCCCACCCTGTATGGTCTTGACCAGCGGGGTAGCGATTTCCGGCGTAGTCTGGTGGGGCCGGTCCCCGCGTGTCCTGGGGAGTGTGCCAAGGTGTAATACCATACCTGGTTTTTGGCCTGGGGTGGTCCTGCGGGTCGGTCCTGTATTGGTTTGTCCTCAGGGGCCGGGGGAGTTTCACGTTCTCGTCACTCCGGTTTGGGGATACATACCTTAGTATTTTGGTCACCGTCCGGTCCGTTGTTTCTACCTGTTGTAGTGCCTGACGTGTGTTGTTTATACCCATTTGTTCTGAGGTAGGTGCGTCATGGGCGTGTGTCAACATTACCCCCCCCCTGCTTCGAGGCACCACGAGTACCGACGAAGTGAGTGTATCGGAAGCAGAGTCTAACAGCCCATGGCGTATTGGCAGTATGTCTTTATCACGGCCGGAGGTTCCGAGCGTCGTGTCGATCATGACGTCGAAGGGGCGTTCTAGTGTGGGGTCGTCGTGTCGGAGGGAGGCTAAGTCCGACCTGTCGAGGTCGGGGGTTGTCCCCCCCCAGTCCGGGTAGTCCCGTTGGCCTAGGGTTAAGTCCTGGCGTGCGTCAGGGGGGTTGCCGTGGGGTTGTCCTCCATGTTTGGGGAGGTCCCCGGCGTTCCCATCGCGGGTCACTGGCCGTTGTGTCGCAGCATATGCGGACGGCCCAGGCTTGGGGCACCGTAAGTCGTGTGGTCCATGTAGCATGTTCAGATGTGGGCCAGGGGGGTCGTTGTAGGTTTGTCCGCTATGTTGAGGGCGGGCCCTTTCGTCCCAATGGCTGCAGTCTGAGACATGTCTCGTATGGACGTCAGGTGGGCCAGGGTCATGGGTCGGATAGTCATGTTGTCTGTGTCGCATGTCCATGTGTGTTCCCGGAGGGGCGTCGTGGGGGTCGCAGTGGTCGACGTGTCCAATGTTGGGTTGTGTATTGTTCCTATGACCTTGATTTTGGTCCTTTCCCGTCATGATACTTACCAGTTCGGCCACGCTCCTGCGTCCACAGTTGGACGATGGTTCGCCGCGGTCGGAGCGAGGGGAGTGTGGGCCGGAGGTAGTGTCACGGCTGGTTCCGTTCGAAATAGCGGTCCTGATTTCCGCTGCGCGATCAAGATCCATGGTCGCGCTTGGAGTCATGCTCAGTCCCTGTTGGTGGTCCCTACTTACCTGTGGGATTTGTTGTAAGCGGGTCGCGGCGGATTTCCTAGTTTCCGCCAGTTGTCGTTCCAGGTCACTCACTGTGTTTTGGAGCCTTGCTTTCTGGGCTTCGGAGTCGCGCAAGGTTATTCTGGAGATTATGGCCAGTCGTCCTAGCCACTGGGTTAGGGTCTTACCTTGGAGTTTCGTCGTAGTAGCTTCGGATGCTAATATGGAGGTGGCATCTTGTAAGTCAGAGAGTGAGCTGTGCTCAAGCGTGTCGTAGCCCCCTGGGAATAACTTCTCTGTGAAGTCTCGCAGAAAGTTATCCACTATGCCGTGTCCTTCTGAGACACCGTTGTGCTTGCTCGGTCGTGGCGAGTTTCCGCCATCGATTTCCATATTTGTGTGGGTGAGTGTATGCGAGGATGACTTGGAACGTGTGTGTACGACACGGTGGGAGGAGGGAAAGGAGGGAAGCAGTGCTATAGAGAGGGTAGTTTAGCTGTTGGCCGTGTGGTGGTGTAGACCTTGGTGTGTGTCAAAACCGTGACTACAGCGCCCTCTCTGTGTGGCGGTGTATGCGAGTAGGCGGCCTAGGGCAGGGGCCGGGCGTTAGTACTTCTTCACCTGTGTGTCAGCGGAGAGCGTTGGGGTTAGTGGCGTTGGCGCACGTAGGGTTAGGGCGCGGCGTTAATCGCAGCGGTAGACGCGGCGTAAGAGACGCCGCGTGAGATGCACCTGCGTGGGAGACACACCTGCGTCTGTCACGCACCTGCGTTTGTCACGCACTTGCGTTTGTCTCGCACTTGCGTTTGTCTCGCACTTGCGTTTGTCTCGCACTTGCGTTTGTCTCGCACTTGCGTTTGTCTCGCACTTGCGTTTGTCTCGCACTTGCGTTTGTCTCGCACTTGCGTTTGTCTCGCACTTGCGTTTGTCTCGCACTTGCGTTTGTCTCGCACTTGCGTTTGTCTCGCACTTGCGTTTGTCTCGCACTTGCGTTTGTCTCGCACTTGCGTTTGTCTCGCACTTGCGTTTGTCGCGCACTTGCGTTTGTCGCGCACTTGCGTTTGTCGCGCACTTGCGTTTGTCGCGCACTTGCGTTTGTCGCGCACTTGCGTTTGTCGCGCACTTGCGTTTGTCGCGCACTTGCGTTTGTCGCGCACTTGCGTTTGTCGCGCACTTGCGTTTGTCGCGCACTTGCGTTTGTCTCGCACTTGCGTTTGTCTCGCACTTGCGTTTGTGGCGCGGCGTAGCTTTAGACGCAGCTCAAGTAAGCAGTAGCAAAAAGGCAGCAGGCTGAGGCAAGGCAATGCAATTTTAGTGACACTGAGGGTTAGAAATAGAGTATTAGTTTTGATGTAGTACAATCAAACGTAGAGTTTGGCAGAGCAGAGTGGCCATTAATTGGATCAACAGAACAGCATGGAACAAACAGCCAGACAGTGTTAATGTTATCACCATGGGCGGCAGTGCGGTCTAGCCGTGAGAAGCAGAAGGAGGGCAGAATTAAAATGGTTAGTTTCTGTTATGTATAGCAGTAATGTGTTTTAATAGCAACATGCGCTAGAAGTAGCAGAGTTACAGCATGAAACTTGGCCAATGCAGCAATGTAGTCTAACAAAGACGTCAAAGAGGAGAAACAGAAACAGAGTGTTAGCTGTACCAATGTATAGCAGTAATGTGGTTATTGACAAAACAATATGGCATGCAGAAGGAGCAGAGTTACAGTATAGGATCAGTTACCACGGTAATGTGTTATTCATAACGTGCAGTAACAGAGGCAGAACCAACTTATTAGCTTTTGTTATGCATAGCAGTAATGTGGTCTAATACAAAGAAAGAGAAAAGAAAACATATGGGATGCAGAAGGAGGGGCGGGATTAAAGTATTAGTTTAGCACAATCAAACATCAAGTTTGGCAACGTAGCGATTGTAGTTGGAACAGAAACAGCAAGGGACAACAGCCAAAACAGTGTTAGTGTTACAACCACGGCCAATCACTTGATCCTGAGACGTGGTGCAGGGTAAAATGTCAAGACAGCAGCAATGTGGTCCCGGAAGTGGTGCACCGGGACCGGAAAGCGATTCCGTGTTAGACAATAAAAGAGGTGCGGCTCGTTTAGCAGTGTGCAAAGACGGGTTAGCACTTCATGATCGTCAAAAACACAGAATCAGAGTGAGATAGTATAGTACGAGAGTATAGTAAGTAGTGTTATTGTTAGACAACAGGCAGGCAATGCAGCAGAATGGTATTAGCAGTGGGGATGCGGCTCTGGCTTTTAGCACGCCAGGGCCGGAAGTTAGCCGTATGCTAAAAACAAAGTGTTGTGGCTAGCTTGTAGCTTGCCGAAAGCAGCGGTTTTAGCAATAGTTTAGGCAGTAAACATTGAGTTTAGGCAACTGAATGCAGTCTTGTTTAACCGAGCGGCAGTAATTTCAACAGTGAGAGAGCAGCTATTAGTGGGAGCAGTATTAGGAGCAACGGGCGTTGTCCGAGTGTAGCTTCGAGGTCTAGCAGGCCCGAGCGGAAGTTTAGCCTTATGCTAGAACAAAGGAGGGTAGCTAGCTGTTAGCTTTCGGGCGTGGAGCGTTTTAGCAGTAGTTTATACAACGAAAGTCTGGAGCGAGTTATACAGTTCCACAAGCACGTAATCACAGTGGTGGGATGGTGTATGTCTGTATTGTGCAGTACAGTCTTGGTGTGTGTGTGTGTACCACAGCAGAGTAGCAGGAGAAAGAGCGGTGAGACAGAGTTAGCGTTAGCAACCTTTAGCAGAACAACAGCATCACATTCACACAGCTGCCATTTACAGCCTTTTACACAGATATACTCGGTTACAATCCTGTGTGACTTAGGTCACAAAGGGACACAGAGTAGATCCGTACGCTCGTGTTCTGGACACGGTGTACAGTGGTTTACAAGGATAAGTTATTTGCGCTTTCTCTTCAGAGTGAAGCGACTTTCACAAACTCACGCCGCCCGCTGGCCAAGCGGGGCGAAACGTTGGAGAGAATGCGTAGTACCTGTGCGAGAAGCCAGGATTTTGAGACTAAATTAATAGTCTGGTGCATGCACGAGACGCTTTATCGCAAGCGTAGGGCGTAGGGGAGCTCAAATTGTTTTCGAATTCACCATAGCAGGGGGTAGCAGGGATGTGGGGGTGGGGAGGTGGGGGGAAAGCGCTTCGAGCGGAGCAGTGTTTAAGTTAGCGTATTGCAGATCAAGTCACAGAGTACGAGTCGATAAATCTGGTCTATATTCGCGGATCTCACAAACAGGGTACCAATATGTAGAGTAACTACTTATATTGCTGATTATGTTATAAATTTAGTATGAATTTGGTAGCGTGGAGCGGCTAGTCTCCAGAGCGGAAGCTCGCCGTTCCACCAACAGGTCTGTGTTATTTATTTTGGGCACCAGCAGAGTTAGAAATCTGCGCACAGACACACCAAATCTTTGCCTCGATCAGTCTTATGAATCTAATAGGTAGTGAGTACTTTTATCGGCCAGGGATATTCCGAGATCTAACAAGACGACTCTGATAGGATTGAGTTAAAGAAAAGGGGTTTATTGATTACAAAGTGGGATAAAAATATAACGAAAAGGGGTTTCTGGTCACATTAAAAGCAGGAGTTTGTACACATTTCATTCGAATCACACATTTAACAAGAACAGTCTTACTTTGTAGGAGCGTAGAGGATGGAGAAAGGATTTGGGTTGGGAATCAGTCCACGTGGTTTCTTTGTCTGGGCAGGCGGGAGGTATACGAAGCCAGCGAGTTGGTCCAGCTGCTGATCCACGCGTATACAGCCCAGTCCGGAATGGGTTGCGCGCGTAGAGTCCAGAGCCAAGAAAAAGAGGCTGGTGATGAACAGTTCATAAGGTCCCGAGCCAGAGGAGAGGGTTGTGTTGCGGAGTAGAAGGCCCGATGCGTGCAGGCGCGGCCGTAGTAGGAGACACGTACCGCGGGACGCAGATGGGCAGGGAGACTGAAATAGTGATTTCAGGAGAAGACAAGAGAAAGTTTGTTGCATTGAGGGTGCTTATATTGACTTCCCAGGGGAGGCGTGTCCATGCCGTCCTCCTCTCTGTGGACAAACCCTTCACAGCAGACATTTGCAAAGGAAACACACAGGATTGGTGCAGATGATCATAACACATGTACAAACACACAGTGCATTTACATCACAGACATCAACACACGAGTAAGGTCCGTAACGTTATCGACATAATATCACAGAGTAATGTCCCTTTCGAGTTCCGCCTCGGGTGCAGTAGTGTCCAGTGTCCGCTAGGGGGCGCCAGAGCGCCGTGGGAGAGTCTCAAGTTGTGGAATGTCTCATGAGCGATTGCTGATGAATGATTCCTGATCTCCGTCTGGCAGGGGCCGCACAGATGTCCTGTTCTGTTGTTTTATTGCCCCTCTGGGTCTCGTTGTAGTGTTCCTGGTGAATGTTAACCTTCAATTGAACCCGCAGTTGCTTTGAAGTCCCGGGAGCTAGGGAGGGTATGTTTACGGAAAGGGTCTGTTATTCACACCCGATTGGCGCTCACCTTTTCCTCACCCTACATTGAATATATTTTTATTATTATTATTATCATCATTATGCTAGTTTCCTTTTAGTCAGACATTTCAATGTTTTTATTGTGTTTTAGTATTCCAAGTTTTCCCTCTGTAGGAGCCCTCTGCACAGGGAGTGGTGGTTGGTTGTGGCTGTGGGGGTCTGGATAATGGACTGGGACCTCCTCTCTCCTCTGGGGCCTGTGTCGTCCCTGTGGCTGCAGACGGCTCCTCCAGAGCCTATTAGACCCATCTGATCTGACTGTGTATGTGTGTGTGTGTGTCTATACTTTCATATGTGGTTGGGGTAGGACTGTTGGGTGGTCAGGTTTGAGGGATAATGGGCACGAGGGATTGTTGCATAAATAAAATGTGATTGATTGATTGACTCTCACTGTCTGCTGTTGTTGTGTCCCTGGGCAAGACACTTAGGCCCACTCTGGCTGAAGCCCTCACTGAAAGACCAAGGCTGTGTCGTCACCAACGGAGCAGCCATCTTTCAGTGGATCAGTGAGGGGCTGGTGCTATGAAGATTAGGTGGAAGCTAGACGCCTCCTCAGCCCAACACCTCCTCAGCCCAACACCTCCTCAGCCCAACACCTCCTCAGCCCAACACCTCCTCAGCCCAACACCTCCTCACCCCAACACCTCCTCAGCCCAACACCTCCTCAGCCCAACACCTCCTCAGCCCAACACCTCCTCAGCCCAACACCTCCTCACCCAACACCTCCTCAGCCCAACACCTCCTCAGCCCAACACCTCCTCAGCCCAACACCTCCTCAGCCCAACACCTCTCAGCCACAGCCCAACACCTCCTACCCCAACACCTCCTCAGCCCAACACCTCCTCACCCCAACACCTCCTCAGCCCAACACCTCCTCAGCCCAACACCTCCTCAGCCCAACACCTCCTCAGCCCAACACCTCCTCAGCCCAACACCTCCTCACCCCAACACCTCCTCAGCCCAACACCTCCTCAGCCCAACACCTCCTCAGCCCAACACCTCCTCAGCCCAACACCTCCTCACCCCAACACCTCCTCAGCCCAACACCTCCTCACCCCAACACCTCCTCAGCCCAACACCTCCTCAGCCCAACACCTCCTCACCCCAACACCTCCTCAGCCCAACACCTCCTCAGCCCAACACCTCCTCACCCCAACACCTCCTCAGCCCAACACCTCCTCAGCCCAACACCTCCTCAGCCCAACACCTCCTCAGCCCAACACCTCCTCAGCCCAACACCTCCTCACCCCAACACCTCCTCAGCCCAACACCTCCTCAGCCCAACACCTCCTCAGCCCAACACCTCCTCAGCCCAACGCCTCCTCACCCCAACACCTCCTCAGCCCAACACCTCCTCAGCCCAACACCTCCTCAGCCCAACACCTCCTCAGCCCAACACCTCCTCAGCCCAACACCTCCTCAGCCCAACGCCTCCTCAGCCCAACACCTCCTCAGCCCAACACCTCCTCAGCCCAACACCTCCTCAACCCAAAACCTCCTCAACCCAACACCTCCTCACCCCAACACCTCCTCAGCCCAACACCTCCTCAGGTCAACACCTCCTCACCCCAACACCTCCTCAGCCCAACACCTCCTCAGCCCAACACCTCCTCACCCCAACACCTCCTCAGGTCAACACCTCCTCAGCCCAACACCTCCTCACCCCAACACCTCCTCAGCCCAACACCTCCTCAGGTCAACACCTCCTCAGCCCAACACCTCCTCACCCCAACACCTCCTCAGCCCAACACCTCCTCAGCCCAACACCTCCTCAACCCAACACCTCCTCACCCCAACACCTCCTCAGCCCAACACCTCCTCACCCCAACACCTCCTCAGCCCAACACCTCCTCACCCCAACACCTCCTCACCCCAACACCTCCTCACCCCAACACCTCCTCACCCCAACACCTCCTCAGCCCAACACCTCCTCACCCCAACACCTCCTCAGCCCAACACCTCCTCAGCCCAACACCTCCTCAGCCCAACACCTCCTCAGCCCAACACCTCCTCAGCCCAACACCTCCTCAGCCCAACACCTCCTCACCCCAACACCTCCTCAGCCCAACGCCTCCTCAGCCCAACACCTCCTCAGCCCAACACCTCCTCAGCCCAACACCTCCTCAACCCAACACCTCCTCAACCCAACACCTCCTCACCCCAACACCTCCTCAGCCCAACACCTCCTCAGTCAACACCTCCTCACCCCAACACCTCCTCAGCCCAACACCTCCTCAGCCCAACACCTCCTCACCCCAACACCTCCTCAGGTCAACACCTCCTCAGCCCAACACCTCCTCACCCCAACACCTCCTCAGCCCAACACCTCCTCAGGCCAACACCTCCTCAGCCCAACACCTCCTCACCCAACACCTCCTCAGCCCAACACCTCCTCAGCCCAACACCTCCTCAGCCCAAACACCTCCTCAGCCCAACACCTCCTCAGCCCAACACCTCCTCACCCAACACCTCCTCAGCCCAACACCTCCTCACCCCAACACCTCCTCAGCCCAACACCTCCTCACCCCAAACACCCTCCTCAGCCCAACACCTCCTCAGCCCAACACCTCCTCACCAACACCTCCTCAGCCCAACACCTCCTCAGCCCAACACCTCCTCAGCCCAACCCCCTCTCAGCCCCAACACCTCCTCAGCCCAACACCTCCTCGCCCAACACCTCCTCAGCCCAACACCTCCTCAGCCCCCCCAACACCTCCTCAGCCCAACACCTCCTCAGCCCAACACCTCCTCAGCCCAACACCTCCTCACCCAACACCTCCTCAGCCCAACACCTCCTCACCCCAACACCTCCTCAGCCCAACACCTCCTCAGCCCAACACCTCCTCAGCCCAACACCTCCTCAGACCCTAACACCTCCTCAGCCCAACACCTCCTCAGCCCAACACCTCCTCAGCCCAACACCTCCTCAGCCCAACACCTCCTCAGCCCAACACCTCCTCAGCCCAACACCTCCTCAGCCCAACACCTCCTCAGCCCAACACCTCCTCAGCCCAACACCTCCTCAGCCCACAACACCTCCTCAGCCCAACACCTCCTCAGCCCACACCTCCTCAGCCACAACACCTCCTCAACACCTCCTCACCCAACACCTCCTCAGCCCAACACCTCCTCAGCCCAACACCTCCTCAGCCCAACACCTCCTCACCCCAACACCTCCTCACCCCAACACCTCCTCACCCCAACACCTCCTCACCCCAACACCTCCTCACCCAACACCTCCTCAGCCAACACCTCCTCACCCCAACACCTCCTCAGCCCAACACCTCCTCAGCCCCAACACCTCCTCAGCCCACCTCCTCAGCCCAACACCTCCTCACCCAACACCTCCTCAGCCCAACACCTCCTCAGCCCAACACCTCCTCACCCAACACCTCCTCACCCCAACACCTCCTCAGCCCAACACCTCCTCACCCCACAACACCTCCTCAGCCCAACACCTCCTCACCCACAACACCTCCTCAGCCCAACACCTCCTCAGCCCAACACCTCCTCAGCCCAACACCTCCTCAGCCCAACACCTCCTCAGCCAACACCTCCTCAGCCCAACACCTCCTCAGCCCAACACCTCCTCAGCCCAACACCTCCTCAGCCAACACCCTCACCACACCTCCTCAGCCCAACACCTCCTCAGCACCCAACACCTCCTCACCCAACACCTCCTCACCCAACACCTCCTCAGCCCAACACCTCCTCACCAACACCTCCTCAGCCCAACACCTCCTCAGCCCAACACCCTCCTCAGCCCAACACCTCCCACCAACAACACCTCCTCAGCCCAACACCTCTCACCCAACACCTCCTCACCCCAACACCTCCTCAGCCCAACACCTCCTCAGCCCAACACCTCCTCAGCCCAACACCTCCTCACCCAACACCTCCTCAGCCCAACACCTCCTCACCCAACACCTCCTCACCCAACACCTCCTCAGCCCACACCTCCTCAGCCCAACACCTCCTCAGCCCAACACCTCCTCAGCCCAACACCTCCTCAGCCCAACACCTCCTCACCCAACACCTCCTCACCCAACACCTCCTCACCCAACACCTCCTCAGCCCAACACCTCCTCAGCCCAACACCTCCTCAGCCCAACACCTCCTCAGCCCAACACCTCCTCAGCCCAACACCTCCTCAGCCCAACACCTCCTCAGCCCAACACCTCCTCAGCCCACACACTGATTAATAAAGGAGATTAATGAATGTAAAAATGCCACACATAAACATGATTGTGTCCGGCACTATGTATCTGCCTTGTAACAGAGCTGTTGTTCTTGTATTTTAATGATATTTATGGACTTTTCCTGACATTACCACACAGTCCTTAGTCCCACACAGTCCTTAGTCCCACACAGTCCTGAGTCCCACACAGTCCTGAGTCCCACACAGTCTTTAGTCCCACACAGTCCTGAGTCCCACACAGTCCTGAGTCCCACACAGTCCTTAGTCCCACACAGTCCTGAGTCCCACACAGTCTTTAGTCCCACACAGTCCTGAGTCCTACACAGTCCTTAGTCCCACACAGTCCTTAGTCCCACACAGTCCTTAGTCCCACACAGTCCTTAGTCCCACACAGTCCTGAGTCCCACACAGTCCTGAGTCCCACACAGTCCTGAGTCCCACACAGTCCTAGTCCCACACAGTCCTGAGTCCCACACAGTCCTGAGTCCCACACAGTCCTTAGTCCCACACAGTCCTTAGTCCCACACAGTCCTTAGTCCCACACAGTCCTTAGTCCCACACAGTCCTAGTCCACAGTCCTTAGTCCCACACAGTCCTTAGTCCCACACAGTCCTGAGTCCCACACAGTCCTGAGTCCCACACTGTCCTGAGTCCCACACAGTCCTTAGTCCCACACAGTCCTGAGTCCCACACAGTCCTGAGTCCCACACAGTCCTGAGTCCCACACAGTCCTTAGTCCCACACAGTCCTGAGTCCCACACAGTCCTTAGTCCCACACAGTCCTTAGTCCCACACAGTCCTTAGTCCCACACAGTCCTTAGTCCCACACAGTCCTTAGTCCCACACAGTCCTGAGTCCCACACAGTCCTTAGTCCCACACAGTCCTGAGTCCCACACAGTCCTGAGTCCCACACAGTCCTGAGTCCCACACAGTCCTTAGTCCCACACAGTCCTGAGTCCCACACAGTCCTTAGTCCCACACAGTCCTGAGTCCCACACAGTCCTTAGTCCCACACAGTCCTGAGTCCCACACAGTCCTTAGTCCCACACAGTCCTGAGTCCCACACAGTCCTTAGTCCCACACGGCTTCTCTCTATCTAGATGGATCAGTTTGTGATGATGTAACATGTGTATAATACAAACCACTTTTAGTCACAGTGTAATTAAGATCTGGGGAATGAAACCCACATCAGCCTCCAGCGGACCAACAGCTCCATCTGCTGATCAGCAAGAACACAGCCAAAGTTACATTCATACTAATAATAATGGGCCTCATTCACGAATAACTTCGTAAGAAACTACTCAACTTTCTCCTCAAGTTGTCCTTAAGTAGATTTCTAAGAAGAGCCTACGTGGGATTCATCAACGCGCTCTTAAGCCGCTGAATTGTTCGCAGCTGTTCTCTCAGATTGATGAATCCCATTTCCTCGTAAGTAGAGCGCGCGTGCCAGGTGCTTCATTAGCATAGGTACTTAGCATAGGTAACCGCCCACTAATGCCCATATAAGGGACTGCAGGGCCGTGTGCAGACGGCCCTGCAGCAACAGGCCTAAAGCAAAGAGTTACACGGAGCAAAAGAGTCACCCTTTTTTCTTCTTTTGCCAGACTGAGAATAAAGTTATAAAATGTTGACTTAAAAGTCGAAATATTATGAGAATAAAGTCGAACTAGCAAAATTATGAGATTAATCTAAGAATATGATGAGATTAATCTCAAAATGTTATGAGCTTAATTTAAAAATATATTATGTTTTATTTTAAAGATGAATCTCAAAATGTTTTGAGATTAATCTCAAAATATTTTGGACCCTGGGAGGAGATCCAGCGCGGACCAGCGCTGAGACCAATGCAGACCCGAGGAGAGAGACTGGAGTGACCAGCACACAGAAACCAGCGCGGACCTATAGGAGAGACCGCATAGACTGTAGTGACCTGACTGGAGAGACCGGTGCGCAGAGACCAGCGCGGACCGAAGAGAGACCGCATAGACCAGACTTGAGAGACCAGCGCGGACCCGTATGGATCCAGGAGCATGCAGCACGGACCCGTATGGAGAGAGACCAGTGCAGACCCGTATGGATCCAGGAGCAGTGCAGACCCGTATAGATCCATGGGAGAGACCAGTGCAGACCCGTATAGATCCATGGGAGAGACCAGTGCAGACCCGTATAGATCCATGGGAGAGACCAGTGCAGACCCGTATAGATCCATGGGAGAGACCAGTGCAGACCCGTCTAGATCCATGGGAGACACCAGTGCAGACCCGTATAGATCCATGGGAGAGACCAGTGCAGACCCGTCTAGATCCATAGGAGAGACCAGGGCAGACCCGTATAGATCCATAGGAGAGACCAGTGCAGAGACTCAGCGCGGACCCAGTAACCTCCTGCAGCAGCAGTATATATGCCGTTGTTCTGTGGCCCGTGGATAAAGAAATGCCCCCTATAAATAGGAAGGGGTCACTAATACACGGCAAGATTTCCAATGTATTTGATAAAGTGTTGGCACATTTCATTTCAAAATGAATTAAAAAGTAGGCCAGATCTGCAGTGAAAAAGGCGGTATATAAATAAAGATTACTAATAAAGATTACTACAAATAAATAAATACATACATCGATATGACGGACATATCACTGGAATGTTGTATTTTTATTCAACTTCACCAAAGAGGACAACCCCGGCGTGTGAACATGTCGGCACTGAATGCGTACGAGTGCTCCTGAGGACTCGTAGGATTTGTACTTGCCCAAGAGAAATTCTGGTTACGAGAAATATTCGTGAATGCCACTTTCTTCGTAAAAACCGCGTAAGTAGGATTTACGTACAAATCTGTTCCTAAGAACCGTTTGTGAATGAGGCCCAATATTTGTAATATTGATGATATTATGTGAGAGAGAGGGGTATGGATGAGTCAGTGACAGAGTGGTTAGCACTCTTGCAAAATGGTCCTATAGGTTTGAATCTCGTGTGTTCAAAGAACACAGTTCTTCACTAATAATCTGTCAGGGATGAAGCAGACAGAGACGGATCGTGGTGTGCCAAACTCTGGAAGTTTATTTAAGTTTCTCTCAAGTTCCAGTGGTTTCCATTGTTTCTTTCTCTCAGACAGAATGGAGTCAGTACACAGTTTATATAGTCATTGTCACGTCACACATGGAAAGACGTACGTGTCACACAGAGACAGTCACATCATAGTCAAAATAATCAAGAGTCCTTGTACAGTCCTGCACGTAGGCCATATTGCTATCTAATACTAACAAATCCTTTATCTCCCTCTTGAGGACATTGAGTGGTAAAAGCACAGTATACACAAAACTCAGGAGGACAAACACATCTGACACAATATGTGTTTGACCATGAGGACAAGCACTTACATTTGAAACAGAGGCCATGAGGACAAACATGAACACCTGTTGCTGCTGTACATCAGTCATTTGTCCCATACTGTCCTCTATACTTCTCCATAGACTTTAAAGAGAAAACTATACCTAAAAAGCCCCCAATGAGATGAAACCAAACAACAAGTGGAATATGCCGTCCGTCAGTCAAATAGTGACAGTTATGCATATCCAGCCTCTGTATAATATTGCATTTACTTTATAACACACTTTTGATGTGCAACACATCTCAAAGTGCTAAATCTGGTTTAATACACAATGGACACATCATAAACGTTACAAACAAGTATACAAATGCATAAAAGGCAGGTGGTACACATCAGCAGTTGGCCTTCCTGAACAGCTGTGTCTAAGGTTTTGTTTAAAGCACTCTACAGCTTGTGGCAGAGCGGTGCACAGGTGTAGAGCTGCTACTGAGTCATTTCCCCCTGTCCTGGTTAGTGGATTGGAGGGATCTTGATGGTATCTGCCAGTGGAAACAGAGATCCATGGTTTGGGTTCATTTTGATCATGATTTTCTTATTCAACCAAACATGGTATTGTCTCATCAAATTATTTGTTTTCTAAAGCTGGTGAACCAAGAAATAAGCTGACTACAAACCTGAAACCTACAATTGTTTAAAAACTGTTGTATTTTATTAAAAATCTGTGATCAATGCATTAAGTGCATTTGTTTCTGTAAATTGTTAGATGTAAACATACTTGTATTCCATTTAAGGTGTCCTTTAAGACAAAGCCACATTAACAACAACATGTGTTTTTCTGCAGTAGCATGGCTCTCTGTTGACGGTGGAACTATTCAGAAGGTGCTATATGACATTTGTCCACTAGATGTCAGTGTTAGATTCTAGTCAGATCGAGCTCAGAGGCTGCGACCCGTTTGAAAGAGTCTGGCAAAGAAAGCCTGTCATTGTGTTGGTTCAGTGATGGATGTTTATTGCACATTTTGATTTTCAGTTTGGAGTTTTGCGATGGCCGTGTTAGCATACTGTTTCTGTGGATTGGTGGTCTGTTGTCAGTGATGTGACCGAGAAGGCAAAGAAAAGGAGAGAAGGAAGTTGGGCAGGGGTTTCAGTGAGTGTTTGTGTGATCATGAGCCAAAATGATTGTACGAGTGAGTGTTCCCAAAGTGTGTGTCAGTGTCTGGGGTTATGTGATATGAGTCTGGTGGATGACCTTCTTTTGTGTTATCTGTAGATTTGCGGTGCATCTATCTTTCCAGGTTTCAGGGGAGTGTTGAAAATTATATTTTAGCATTACTCCAGCAACAAAGCCAACTGTGAGTACTGATGTGGATGGTCTTAACCAGGTCTAAGATAAGATAGGACTTTATTGATTTCACACAGGAGAAATGTACATGTCACATCTGACATGGATAGAATCACTCAAGATTGTGCAAAAAGAAAAATAATGTCCAAACATGTTAAATGCAGGATATATTATGTACAATAAAAAGTGGCTATTAAGAAACAGTGTCAATAGTAGTGCAGGTTTTTCAGTCCTAATACAAGTGACTTAACCCTTTAGGCGCCAGAGTTTTTTCAAGAAAATATACAATTTTGATTTCAAGATTTCAAAAGGCTATAACTTAAAAATGGTTTGAGACAAAGGCATACTGTAAATTAGAAATATCTTCAGTTTGAACCAAACCTTGGGATGGAAGTTGATTCGTCATCCAATTTGCATATTGTGACGTCATCAAGGTGGCGGCCATTTTGGAACATGTTAATTATTGTATAAAGACTTCAAAAAGCTGTATCTTGGGAGTTATTTGAGATCAGGGAATACTATCAACAGTCAATATGAAATATCTTTAGAATGAAATGAATTTGGGATAGAAATAAATTCCATGATCCAGATTATAAATAATGTTTTAGCACTGGTTCGCAGCCATATGGAATTGTATTATTTTCAAAGACCTTCAGTGATCAAGACAGCACTCTTTATAGTTTACAGTCATGAAATCTGGAGATTGAAAGGGAAATATTGAAACCAAAGAAGTGGTGGGCTTACTATTATTCTCAGTGGAAATGAGGCTCCAGGACTTATCGTTTAGAAACAGAGAGATGAAATGAATGGGCTCAGAACTTGTCAGATCGTCTCAACAACATACAACAGGCTCTTCAACACTTCTGATCCACTTTTGTGGATTATTTTCTCTCAAGAACTGCCTTGATCCTCATCGTCGCTGCTGGTAAAGGCAGTGAACGCGATTAGCGATGTGTTTTTTTCCCGCGGCTCCCCCGCAACTTCTCCCGCGTCTCCCGTGTTCCCCGTGGATGTCTACCCCCGCTACTTTCTCCCACATGCCCGGTGTTATGATGCCCCTGTCCCCTCCACCACGGCCCCTGCTTGGCGTTCACAGAATGCTTCTACCGCGGCCACACGGAGGACAAGCAGCCGCTGTACATGGGCTGATTGTGGACTATGGAGCGCGGTCTCCCCGTCACCAATAATGTCCATGTCTGTTTCACTGGACACCTGCGTGTCTTCCTCCTCTGAATCTGAGTGAGCCAGTACCAGACCAAGTACTTCTCTGGTACTGAAGACCTCGTGAGTAAAATAAAAAACACTCTCTCCCTCTGCTCTGCTATCGCTCCTGAAAGAACGGGAGAGGTGGGGTTGTTCAATTTACACATTTTAAGCTGGTTTAAATAACATGAACAATTTCTGTTTCTCTTAAAAACATAAGCAAATCTTGAAGATCGCACTTAATTTTTAGCGTTGTTACATCAACATATCTAAATCATGTTGATGCCAAATGAAAATGTAACATTTTGTCTTTGCCCCTGAATTTGTGACGCGTGAAACCCCGTGCATCGAGAAGCATTCCTCGTGGGGATTTTAGTCCGCCATTTTACAACCGATGCTACATGAACCTGCATCAGGAGGACACCCGCATAAGGTACATTAAATTTTCTCTTACAAATTAACGATAGGAAGTGGTAGACATCGCCTCAACATTGTTGTTTTCACGGAGCAGAGCTTTTTAATCTGCTATTATTATCAAGCAACTGCAAGCTCCATCCACCTGCTGCCCTCGGCGGTGGGGCGGAGGTGCCCGTGGTTGCTAATGCTAATGCTGCCCTCCTCTCGCTTCCTTTGGGTGCACGGATCGCCTCGGTGCGTCGCGAACGGGTTCGGGTCCGATTGGAAGGGTTTTGGAGAAACATATCAGTTTTTGCTCCTTTTGTTGTTTTTTTCTAGGCGGAATTTCATTTTTTCAACAATACACAGATACTATAATACTAGAGGAACTAATGGATACCTATCCATTGAGTGATTACTGGGTTGGAAGAAGCCGCATGGTAACCTTAAAACGGCACATTGTCATTAGGGGTAAGATTTGAACACGTGGTTGCACTGAGAAGGTGACATGGAGTAGGGCTGAACGATTCTTTCTGGCTCTTTCTATATTGTGATTTAAATTCGATACACAATTTTCTTCAGTTAAATAATCACAATGTGCAGTAGCATTTACATACTTGGCCAAAAATTACATAAAAAAATCAAAACATTACAGGAATAGTTCAGCAATTTTCCATTCCACAGTCAAAATACAAGTTTTTGGGGTATTATGTAAAACAACAGATCCTGGGTCAGTCAGGAGCACACAAATTGCTGCTTTGGGGATGATCACCATGTCTGAAATTGTGATTTCGATCATAAAACAATGAATCTTTCAGCCCTACAATGGAGGATCCAATATGGCACACTAAATTGCTTCTTCCTGTTTTTCCTATCTGATTTGCACGCTGTCAATAATGGAGAACGTAATCACTAAATCTTACCTGTTCTGTATTTCCTCCACAGATTAAGAGATCATCAATGGCTGCCTTCCTAGTGTTAAGAGTTATCTTGGATGCTGAAAACTCTCAAAGACTGCTGTTTGAAGGTGGTTTTCCAAGATCTGTTGATTAAGTGGTTCAGGAGGTAAAGAGACAGTGCAACCTCAACTATACCTTCAGACTCCAGTTTATGGATGAGCATTTTGGAAACGTGTTTACAAACCTAACAAGAGTGGAGGAACTCAAGGATAAGGGGACAATTAAAGTAATCCAGATTGAGAGTTCCCAGTGTGATGAGGCTTCTGTCAGTCATTCCGTAGTTCAGGCTCTGCTTTCACCTTGTTCAGTGTCAGTGTCCTGTGGGTCTGTTGACACAGATATTCTGTCCTCTTCGGATTCTTCAAGCTCAAGAACATCATGGCCAGTCAATTTTCCTGTGCCCCAGTTTTCTTATGATTCAGAGCTGAAACTTGACAGAGGCAATGTGACATACAAAAAGGATGGCACTCCTCATTCCTGATCCAAAACTTAAATCAAACATTCTTGAGACCCTGGTGCAAGAAATGATCAAATACAAACTTTACTGTAGTGGCAAGGAATTAAATGCTGTGGCGAAGGCCCTTGTATCGAAGCATCCTTGCTTGAGTGAGAAAGGTTCTCTCACTGGGCATGCAGGATGGAAGACCAGTTTGGGAAATAAGCTTTCTATGTACCGCACGCAGCTGAGAAAACTGGGATGTACTGAAGTGAGTATCAATTCCATGAAGACCAAGCCAGCGGGAAAAGCAAGTCCTGCAGCTTCCATAAAGAAACCTCGGCGGTCAGAGGTTAATTATTGCCCCCCGCATCCCATTGGAGAATCCGACACAAGCCTGGAAAGAGTGAGGGTTGAACTTGTTGATGATGTGACGAGGACAAACAGGGAGGTGATCAAAATGAAAATGGAGAAAACCTTTTCTTATAGGAGAAGAGAAGTCATTTCCGAGGAGCCAATGGTTCAGGACTTCAAGACCAGATGGCCAGCATTCTTTCACATGAGTGAGGTTTGTGATACTTTGGCATGTTTTTTATTTTTTTAAAATAATAAACGATACATGTACCTAATATGGTTTTGTTCCCTTGACTTTGCATTGACATTTTTTGCAGTTTTGAGTATTAATGCTTTATCTGTGTGCTTACAGATAAATGCCGAATTTAAGAGGATAACTACCATGCTGCTCCAGTCCAGATTTCTCTCCCAGCTGGATATTCATACAGTCAAAATGATCAAGTTATTCGGGAAACGAGGAGGAGTGATTGGAGCCAAACTGAAGAACATCCTGGAAGAGATCGAGAGGGCTGTTGATTGTACTTTATTATGCCCTACTAGGGAAATGTGTGTCTGTTTTGAGGAGCATTCATTATGTCATTAATACAAACGCCTTAAATTAGACATAAAAAAATTCACTAAGTCCAAACCTCTCATAATTTATTTGCAGTTTAAAGTTCCACATACCAATCTTGTATGTTAAGGGAGCCAGTGTACGTTTTTTTCAGTCTGACTATACCAAAAAAAGCAATAATGCCCAAAAATCAATCTTGCTACCAACTATTCAGACACGTGAGCAGACTTTGAAAACCAAAGTCAGAATTGTATTTATTTATGATTTGTGTTGCAGTTAGTAGTTCACTCTAGTTGTAGGGATCAATGAGATCAAATGTTTTTCTACAAAAAATAATATGCGTTAAAAAAAAAATACATTTTCTGCTGATTACACTGATCTTTGTCCAAAATCTTAACTACCTCAATAAGTTCTTCAACTTTCAGCAATACCCAAGCAAAATTTGTATTTTAAAATGAAATATACCAGATCTTGAATAGGTTTGATCCTTGGCGAGTCAAATAAATTGGAAAATTTGCGTAAGTCCCAAATCAGTTAATAAAGTAACTCTCTTTCCAGACAGAGGACATTGACATTCTCAGAAAACTCATCCTAAAGGGACTGTGCATATATCTCCAGGAGGACCCAGCACACCTGTTCAGAGAATATGAGGTGAGTCCAACTGATGTATTGTTGAGTTGACAGTTTAATTCCAGCTGTCGCAGTAAGAACAACCACAGGATGCACTTTGAGAACATCAACACTTATTGGTCTCCCTCCCGTCCTTCTCCTCGTGTCACACGAGACCACCGTCACACGAGACCACCGTCACACGAGACCACCGTCACACTAGACCACCGTCACACTAGACCACCGTCACACGAGACCACCATCACACGAGACCACCGTCACACGAGACCACCGTCACACTAGACCACCGTCACACTAGACCGCCGTCACACTAGACCGCCGTCACACTAGACCACCGTAGACCACCGTAGACCACCGTCACACTAGACCACCGTCACACGAGACCACCGTCACACGAGACCACCGTCACACTAGACCACCGTCACACTAGACCACCGTCACACGAGACCGCGTCCAACTAGACCACCGTCACACTAGACCACCGTCACACGAGACCGCGTCCAACTAGACCACCGTCACACGAGACCACCGTCACACGAGACCACCTTCACACTAGACCACCGTCACACTAGACCACCATAGACCACCGTCACACTAGACCACCATAGACCACCGTCACACTAGACCACCATAGACCACCGTCACACTAGACCACCATAGACCACCGTCACACTAGACCACCATAGACCACCGTCACACGAGACCACCGTCACATGAGACCACCGTCACATGAGACCACCGTCACACTAGACCACCGTCACACTAGACCACCGTCACACTAGACCACCGTAGACCACCGTCACACTAGACCACCGTCACACGAGACCACCGTCACACTAGACCACCGTCACACTAGACCACCGTCACACGAGACCACCGTCAAACGAGACCACCGTCACACGAGACCACGTCACACTAGACCACCGTCACACGAGACCACCGTCACATTACACCACCGTCACACTAGACCACCGTCACACTAGACCACCGTCACACTAGACCACCGTCACGAGACCACCGTCACACTAGACCACCGTCACACGAGACCCCCGTCACGAGACCACCGTCACACTAGACCACCGTCACACGAGACCACCGTCACACGAGACCACCGTCACACGAGACCACCGTCACACTAGACCACCGTCACACTAGACCACCGTCACACGAGACCACCATCACACGAGACCACCGTCACACGAGACCACCGTCACACTAGACCACCGTCACACTAGACCGCCGTCACACTAGACCGCCGTCACACTAGACCACCGTAGACCACCGTAGACCACCGTCACACTAGACCACCGTCACACGAGACCACCGTCACACGAGACCACCGTCACACTAGACCACCGTCACACTAGACCACCGTCACACGAGACCGCGTCCAACTAGACCACCGTCACACTAGACCACCGTCACACGAGACCGCGTCCAACTAGACCACCGTCACACGAGACCACCGTCACACGAGACCACCTTCACACTAGACCACCGTCACACTAGACCACCATAGACCACCGTCACACTAGACCACCATAGACCACCGTCACACTAGACCACCATAGACCACCGTCACACTAGACCACCATAGACCACCGTCACACTAGACCACTGTCACACTAGACCACCGTCACACGATAACTGATGCTGGATGCAGAAGGCATTGAGAGCAGCAAGTTTTGCATCACAAAAAAAGTTGTATCCACTGTCTCAATTGTTCAAAGGCGTCCCGATATAAATCCTTGTTTTAGTCTTTGGGTTGTTATTAAGGATTTGAGAGTCATAACAAGACCTTTTTTAGTTCTGCGCCACATGTTATTTTACCAGTGAGATTAGCCTCGCAGAGTTCTGGCAACCCGATCACGGACTTCCATGGGACATCCTTATTGGCGAAACGGTGGAGGGCAGGACATCAAAATTAAAACAATAACAACTTTTATGGGTCGTAAAACAAATTTTGATATTCAAATATCTCTGAACTACTGTTATCAGTTAAAGATGTATTTGAAAAGAGCATGATTTATTAATGCCTTTTGAAATATTGGGGCCATTTAATGATGACTTGACATGCAAATATTGCATACTGCTACTTTAAGAGGATAGTGAAGATGCATTGGACCTGATCAGCCACTAGAGGTCGCAAACAGCTCAATGATATGAAACTCGAACACACAACCCATTGTTTTAGTGCCCTCTGACAATATTTACAAAAAGTAATATATAAAACTAATCCTCAAGAAAAAAAACATTTAATTAATTTTATGAAAAAAAAAAATAATTGAGCTCTTACCCAATTTGAATGAGGGTTCAGTCAGTTATAGTTGCAACTTACCAAACAATGAAAACAATTGTATTTAACAAAAAAAGTATGATTAATCAAACTTAGCCAGGGAACACCCATGCTTGCAGGGTGTGATAAATGACGGTGTCATGAATCAACCCTGAAGTCATAAATGTTGTTAATGTTTGTAAATTCCAGAATGTGAAATTGAACCTATTAAATTAATTAGTGCGAGGAATCGCTTCTCTGCATACAAGGGAAGAGCACAGACCCATCTTGTTTCTTTCACATTATGATTTTAGTTCAATATGGAGGTTTAAATTCTATCCACAGAGCAGACAGAAGCGTGTTACTTCTCCTTTAAGTCCATTGTTTTTGTGAACACTGATCTGTGTTTTTAAAACCTTTGTATAGAACCAGTTCCTTCCCAGTTCAACCCTCCACCAGCTAAAAAGAAGAAAGTGGTCGCGTATCTCCTCATCACTGGTCAGACGTTCCAGGCTCACCAGCAGATCCTGGACCACCTGAACAAAGGCCCGTTGAGCATCTCTGTCACTGAGGACGTGCAGCAGTGTGACGTCATCCTGCTCTTCTGTCCGATCCTGTCGCGGGTCCGCTCTGATGTAGAGTCTGCTTTCAGGAAGATTCCAGGTTTGTGGATTCAAGGAAACAAGACAAATACAATATTTTTAATTTAATTAAATGCTGGGGAAGGTATTATTGAGGGAAAGTACATATAGGTGGCACTTGAATAGAAGCTGCAGGTTTCATCAAACAAACCGATAGAAGAGCGTCATGACATGATCACTTTTGACTCGTGATGATCGAAGCTCTCTACTCTGACTAGAACATTCCTACTAAATCTTGATAGAATACTGTATGTTCATAAACTCTCTATACACAGGAGTTCTTACTCACATATGAAGTCCTGTGTATTCCCTGCTCTCCTTGGTCTCTCCTTCTCTCTGCAGTTCATATGAACACACCAGGAAGCAGGAATGTGTGCTACATCATCAGCTTTGGAGATCAACAGCTGATAGAGCTGTGTCTGAATCCCTTCCTGCACCACAGGGGGAGCTCTGAAGAACTAAAAATACTTACAAAGAACAAAAGAAAAGATACTTGGCACTGATAGAAAATGTATAGAGACCCTCTAAAGGGCAAGTAGTCAGGGCCTTTATCCCCACCGCTGTCAGACAAGTCACTTTAAGTCACTAATGCACTAGGACTGAAAAAACCTGCACCGCTATTGTCATTCTTTCTTCTATTGTTTCTTTTTAATTGTACATAATTATATCCTGCACAGACGATATTTTTAACCTTTAACATGTTTGCACACTCACATGAGATAGAAATCACATGAAATGACATGATGTCACACTGTAAGAAGAACACAAATATTGACTGAAAAGTATAGTAAAACTTATTAATACCCATGTACAACTACTGCAACAAATGACTATTGTTGTGGTCAGTGCATAGATACAGCAAGAAAACAAAATAATTCCATAAAAAGTACCCTGAGCTGAGCTCATCATCAGAGTTCCAAGATCACTATGAAAAGAGTTCATAGTGAATACATCCCAAAACAACACCTCAATAATAGGTGCCTTCACACTACAATAGTCTGTAAAGCTTTGAAACATACAAAAAACTAACATGAACTAAAACATGTGGGTTGTGTTGACAGATGGAGCTGAAGATAAACCAGTGGTTCTAGTTCTGTTGCATCACACCCGCAAACCAGACCAGGTGCTGAAGCAGACTCAGTGGATGGATGAGTTCCCCATGGTCATCCAGGAGGTCAATGTGCTATACCACGAGAGCCAGAATGGACTGCTCGATTGCCCCAGGAACCAGGAGGCCCTTCAGAACCTCCATTTACTGCAGCGGGGTCGCCAAACAGGAGGCGCATGCCAGACCATTTGTACATATTTTTAGTGGTAGGGGAAACCGGAGCACCCGGAGGAAACCGGAGCAGACACGGGGAGAACATGCAAACTCCACTCAGAAAGGCCCTGGTCCGACCGGGATTCGAACCCAGGACCTTCTTGCTGAGAGGCGAGAGTGCTATCCACTCAGCCACCGTGCCGCCCACAGTGCTAATTGAGTGCTATTAATGCTAATAATGTTAACCCTTTAGGCGCAACTTTGGAATGGAAGTTGATTCGTTCATCTAATTTGCATATTAGATCCGCTACATTGTATGTAATTTTGTTACATTTGTATAAGTAAGAAATGTAATTTTGTTATTTGTTAATTGGGTTAGGCGAAATAAGTGTTAAACTTCAGCCTAACCCTTTCGGTCAGTATATAATTTATAATTTGTGAATGTCAAATGTTTTCTTATTTTCTGCTGATGGCCGAAGAATAAACGAATATATATATATATATATTGTGACGTCATCAAGGTGGCGGCCATTTTGGAAAATGTTAATATTGTATAAAGATTTCAAAAAGCTGTAGCTTGGGAGTTATTTGAGATCAGGGAATACTATAAACAGTCAATGTGAAATATCTTTAGTATGAAATGAATTTGGGATAGAAATAAATTCCATGATCCAGATTATAGATAATGTTTTAGCACTGGTTCGCAGCCATATGGAATTGTATTATTTTCAAAGACCTTCAGTGATCAAGACAGCACTCTTTATAGTTTACAGTCATGAAATCTGGGGATTGGTTTCAATATTTCCCTTTCAAAGAAGTAGTGGGCTTACTATTTTTCTCAGTGGAAATGAGGCTCCAGGATTTACCGTTTAGAAACAGAGAGATGAAATGAATGGGCTCAGAACTTGTCAGATCGTCTCAACAAGAAACAACAGGCTCTTCAACACTTCTGATCCACTTTTGTGGGTTATTTTCTCTCAAGAACTGCCTTCATCCTCATCATCGCTGTTGGTAAAGGCAGTGAACGCAATTAGCGATGTGTTTTTTTTCCCGCGGCTCTCCCGCGACTTCTCCCGCGTCTCCCGTGTTCCCCGTGGATGTCTACCACCGCTACTTTCTCCCACATGCCCGGTGTTATGATCCCCCTGTCCCCTCCACCACGGCCCCTGCTTGGCGTTCACAGAATGCTTCTACCGCGGCCACACGGAGGACAAGCAGCCGCTGTACAGGGGCTGATTGTGGACTATGGAGCGCTGTCTCCCCGTCACCAATAATGTCTGTGTCTGCTTCACTGGACTCCTGTGTGTCTTCCTCCTCTGAATCTGAGTGAGCCAGTACCAGACCAAGTACTTCTCTGGTACTGAAGACCAGAAGACCGTGAGTAAAATAAAAAACACTCTCTCCCTCTGCTCTGGCTCCTCTCAGCTCTACCGCTGCTGCTTCGCCGCTGCGCCGCAGGTGTTTTACGAACTCAATTTACTCAAAAACTTTCAATATAACCACACCCACAAATGTTGCTCATATTACAGGCACACATGTTCACTAACCCCTGGTGAAAAGTATTAACAAGTGTAGGGTGAGAAAATGTCGATATCACACATAACTTAAGTTATGTACCTGATATCGGAGAATTGGATCAAAAACAACCATGTAATAAATACAATAATTGATAATAGCTTTATTTAGGGGCACCAGGGAATAACTCCCAACTGATAACGTGCATATGGCGTCACAATATCAATTAATTGGCTCATTTATTGATTAAGTAATCTCATGAGTCCTTTCATTATTTAATTAGCTAATTAGTCCAATTCTCTTCAATAGAATCTGAAGGTAGTGAATTCTTTTACAAATCAGTGACCTAATTTCTGGATTTAAAAGTACAAATATCACTTTCAGACAAAGATGGTTTTGTAGATTTAATGAAGTATACACAATACAGACTAGATATGAATTATGCAAATTGTCAAGAATAACATGAAGGAAACGTTGATTTCAAGATACATTGTTAAAATGCTAGGCTAAAGTGAGCTAAGCAAGACCTTTGTCTATGAATGGATTGGTATAGGCTGAGGCCTGCATGTGTTCAGCCTTGGTAAGAGAAGTATTCTTTGAAGTATAGGTTTTAATAAAGCCAACAACTGTGTGTAGCAAGAGAGCAGATCATACAACCAGAATAGCCTTTGGTGAATAGCAGTCCTTGGGTCTTGATGGTGTTGGATGGAGGCTTCCTGTCCACGGGGCCTGGACCATGCGGCTGCATCATGTGGCTGAACCAAGTCCTCCCACGATCCACAGTCTAGGTGCCAAAACTCAGCAACTTCTTCAGGTAGAAGCTGGAGGCTATTGAAAGGTTGTGGAAGTCCTTTCAAACGTGGAGCTGAGGTTTCAGGCCATCTAAGAGGCCCAAGGCCCCTTGGTTGCCTAAGCAGAGCCCAGGGCAGAGCCCAGGGAGGTCTGGTCACTCCGTGGTTCCAAAGCAGACTGGTTTTTCTTCCCTGTGGGTCCTTGAAAGTCTTCACATCTTCTTCTTACCCACAATAAAACCTGAACCACAAGGATTTACACACAGTGGAGACAGAAGTTATAATATGTCTCAATATACAACAAAATGTCTTTGATTGAGGAAAGAGGTCATTTTAATTTATCCTACACAAGATTCTGCACCACATTTTTACATACAGCCTGTTTAAGTGAGCAATGTTGCTTGTCTCAATATTGCGACTTTGGCGCTTAAAGAGTTAAAACTTGGACGGAGAGGTTGTAGATCCAGGACCTTGTAGCTTCGGTCCTGGATCCATAGCCTGTCTGTCCGTGTGGAGCGGAACCCGAGGTTTCGCACTTTCTCCCACTAGGTTTTTGTTTTGTTTTTTGGTCTCCTTATGGACCAATAACTATGTGTATTCTTTGTGTCGTAACTGTTGAATCTCTGATCTGTGTTGATTTTGATGGTTTTGTTGAGTCGTCTGAGATGACTGCTGTTGTGAAGTAGGGCCATACAAGAATACATTGTGTTGTAAATTGTGTAAAACTACAATCTTGAACTTCAAATAAGGCCTGTTTACATTTGCACAGTTAACATTATTTTGCACACCAGAATGTAAGATACAAATTTAACATTGAACATGACAAAAGAATGACAATTTGTCTGGACTTTTTACAATCACATTTTATTTATAAACCCCTCAACACTCAAGGCAACCAAAGTGCTTTAGAATAAGATCACATTTTAACCTACATGCAATCAAGACAAAAAAAATAATAAGCATGAACTCAAGCGCTAATGAGTGTGTGGTAGAGGGGGTCGGTTTTGAAGCTCAAAGTCACAAACAACATCCGCTGGCAATAGCAGATGTATTTTGAACTTCATAACCCACAAGCTATATATGATTTTACAGCTTATTTTCCTCTATATTTATATGTACACTACCGTTCAAAAGTTTGGGGTCACATTGAAATGTCCTTATTTTTTAAGGAAAAGCACTGTAGATAACTTTAAACTAGTCTTAACTGTAAAGAAATACACTCTATACATTGCTTATGTGGTAAATGACTATTCTAGCGGCAAATGTCTGGTTTTTGGTGAAATGTTGTAATTGCTGCAAATGGAGGATTCTTTGACAAAAGCAAAGTTGGATGTAAAACAAATCTTATTTTAAATACAAATCATTATTTCTAACCTAACCTCACGTTTGTATAAGTTTTTTACCTTTCGTCTTCTGCTGCTCTAGCCTGGCCTTATCCAACCGTACTCTCCGCTCAATCATAATTTCACTGCATGTAACGTCTGGGTCTGGTCCCTGTGTTTGCGATTACAATCGGTCGTATTTCGACCGGCTACTCAGAGAGCGCGGAAGGCGGGTGTTGTAGGTCGGTGCTGGTGACGTCAAGAGTTTGCACCGAACGGGCAGGTCGTGGTTTGGCAATGGCGAAGAATGCGATAGTAAAGTAATCCGGTCTGGTTCTATCAAGAAATTGAAGCAGGAGCAAGAGGAATGTTTAGCAAATGTAATCACTGATAAAGATTGTGGCGCTACTCCCCACGGGCTCCGTTAGCGGCAAAGGAGATGGCTAGGCTATATGCTAAAGGTAGGCTAAATGCTAAATGCTAACAACAGACTCGGGTGCATTACATACGTCACGGTAAACTCAGATCCAATCGTATCAATCTGCAAAAGGAGTTAACCCTTCCCACCTGTTCACGGAGCTCAAGGGAGCACCTCCAGACCTTAGTATGAAATGTAATTTCTACTATGGTGTGGTACGACCAGGCTACTGCTGCTCCAACAAATTAGACTTTCCCCATCCTTGCTCAGTCTCTTTCTCTCCGTAAGTCTTCCTTGAGAAAGAATATCCACTTGTATTTCCCAAAGTATAATCCAGTGTTCAGAAATTATCCAAACGTGTATTTTTCAGTTGCAAAAAAAAAACGCTCCGAAAGAGCTTCAGACTCCTCTTTTACATTTCACCAAGTTTGACCTTTGTTTACCCCCACAAACATCATATCCACGTGTTCCTTGAGTCCTTAGCTTCAAAAAGAGAGGTTCCATGAAAAGATAGGAGCAGTTTTCCGTCCGCAGGACCCTTGTGTAAAAGACAAACTGCATCCACTTGCACAGGGTCCTTTTTCCCTTGTTGTTGATTACACGGCTAGCACTGAATGATTGACGTGTCTAAGTAGCCAATAAAAAGAGCTTTCTTTTGATGGGTGGGACTTGTAGGAACCCTTTTCATTTTCACAATAAAAGCGTGCGTAAAGACGCTGTTAGAACTGCTGCGCATATTTTATATGCATTTACACTACTAAAAAAATTATTTTGAATAAATGTAAAAGAAAATCACACAGATTTGTTACTTATAAGTACCAAAACTAAAAAATATGCTTTTTATGATGGTGAAATGTTAGTAAAGCAGTTTGGCACAATTTGGCACAAATTTTGCCAAATAGCTTCCCTTTCGGCACTACTTGATAAAAAAAAAAGAAAAACTGCAAAAAATGTATAAAACTTAGAAGTCTGAAACTTTACACAGTTGTTGTCAACAACACAATGAAAAAATTGGCGTTGAAAATTTTCTTCTTCCAATGAAGTAGGCTTTTGTAGGTCATTTGTACATTAAATTTTTTTAGGCGAGGCTGAAAAAAAACAGGTTTTTTTCCCAAACTTCAAAGGATGCAGAGTAAAATTTAGGAATGACATACATTATTTCAGAGTATATTTACATAAACTATAAGGGCCTAGCTTTAAAATGATGCATCACACAAGCATGTGAGATGTAAGATGTGTTTTTAAATAAGCAAAGACATTTGGGTATGCCAAACTTTTGTGCACGAGCCAAAACAGATGTAGGAGTTTAAGAGGTTAATGTTAAAACAAAAGGACACATGTG